GCTAAAAAAAATAATATTTAGGTAACTAAAGCTTTATTTTTGGCCAAAAAAATGTGATGAAGTAATTCTTATAGTGAGGTGAAGACTATAAACAAGCAGAATATAGAATTAAATCTAATGGGTTTTTTCTGGAAAAAAAAATTACTGAACAAAAAAAGGACGAAAAACTCTTTATTTATCATAAGTTGTTTCCAATTATTTATGAAAGGTAATGATCCTCTATTGAGATATACATTACACGTCATTGTCAGTAATAACATTGATTAGATCTACTCTTTGCTTTCAAAGTATAGTAATTCAGGATTCAAATTATTATGAATTGGAAAATATTTGTTAAATTGTTGAAGTATCCGATTTCTAAATGTATATACATGTATATTTTTTACCCTTACTTGACAACAGTTTTACTCTCTATTCTGTGCATGATGTACCCTGGATCAAGCACAAAAAGCTGAAGCTAATATGCTTTTCATATCAATATTTGCTTACTTTTTTTTAATAATTGAAATGGCGATTTACCACCACAACGTATCTATGGAAATACGTATACAAGCGATATTTAGATATGCTACTATTAAATATGATTAAAAATATAATGTTTCACGATGTTCAAAAATCTTATTTTTTTTACACGAAGTGTAACTGAAATATGTTTTGTATTTAGTTGCCAGGCTTTGTAAAGCTGTGGGTATGACAGTCTGGGGTCTGAGTCGATCTACAAAGAAACATATTCCTGCATTTGATCACCTAACGTGAGTTATCTCTAAGATCTGAATTACTGACTTCTTATCGTATAGTATTTGCATGTTATCCATTGAATATTTGTACTCTTGCTGAGTAAGGGCAGAATGCATTTTTTAATTAACTTTTATCATGTTTATGATTGAAGAAACAAAGTAACGGGAAAAAAGACTGTATTTGATTCTTTAAAAATAAGTTTTTATAGAATTTGAGTTTTTGATAACCTCAATTATTATACTTCTGTTAAAATGTTTCCTATACAAAGTTCAGAAGGTAAAATAGCTATCTTTATAGTTCATGCATAGCAAAGCTATACCCCGGGGTATAGTTTTTGCTATCCACCCTCGGAAAGTTTTCATGCAATTTTTGCCTCCAATTTTGATTTCCAGCGATAAATCTTCAAACTGATGATGTCATAATGACTTCAGTAGCATTGTGACGTCATCAGGATTTCAGATTATTCTTGCAGTATTATCTTACTCCAAAAAATTCAAACCTCTGAAATTATTTTATACATCAGTATAATAAAACACTTATCCACTGTTTGTGAGTGGGATAGCTCTTTTATCAAACCCTTGACAGGGACTATTCCCCTCGGGCAAGCCCTCGGGAAACAGTTCCCTGTCGCGGGTTTGATAAAAGAGCTATCTCACTCACAAACAGTGGATAAGTGTATACTATATCTCTTCATTTTAGTGATTGTACGTGTATGCAAACTAAGCATATGCGGAAAATACATGTACCGCGCGCGGTATCGTATCCTAAGTATGACAGAGTAAACATTAAAAAATAGATAAGCTTTGAAAAAGTATATCAGAGCTGAATATACCCTGTATGCGCTGATTCAACATTGCATAATTGAAGGATAAAGGTAAAGTTGGTTATGCACGCATAATACACTCTTTGGTAGCCTAACTTATTAATTGTCAAAACTTCGCTATACGCATAATTCTTTCTAATTATAATTAATATAAAAAATTATTATTTTTACTCATTGTTTTTTATCTACAAATTTGCTTATCTCTTCTTTAGTTTTAAATTATTTTCAAGCCTTGCGATAATCTTGATGACTTTAACTTTTAAATCGTCAGTTTCCCTTATGCAGCAATATACACAATGCACTCTTATCACCTGCAAATGGGGTTTATACAATGCATCGATCAGTTGATTCGATACGCTAGAGCATGCTCTACGTATGAACAATTTCAAAAAAGATTAAACTTATTAGTATTGATAAACAAGTTGATGAAACAAGAATATCAGTAATGTCATTTAAAGACAACATTTTATAAGTTCTTTGGTCCATACAATGGCCTTATAAGCAAATACAATCTATCATTAAGTCAAAATTTGACTGACGTTTTTCAAACAAATTGTCAGAATATTGTTTATACACTGAATCGTTATTTTCTTTACATAGAACACTGGCGGATCTTAGTAGTTTTTTGGCGGGTTGTGATTATATATGTAATGTTCTCCCTGGTACGCCAGAAACTACGAATATGCTGTCAGGAGATGTGCTGAAATGCTGTAAATCTAAGGTACATAGAATATTCTGTCAGTTAGAAGATTGGTCGAAAATAGACTCTAAAATCTAAGGTATATAGAAAATGCTATAAGGGGATATGTAAAATATGCTGTAAGGAGATGTACCGAAATTTGGTAAATCTGAGGTACTTATAATATGTTAAATCTGAGGTACTTATAATATGTTGTCATGAACTATGCTGAAAGGCTGTAAAGCTAAGGTTTATAGAATATATTGTGAGAAACGTGTTTAAATATTGTAAATCAGAGTGTTAATTTTGTCCTGTAATTCTCAGTGGGATGATAAATGTAATATTTTTTTCTGCATAAGCATTTCTCGAGAAATTATTATTTGAGTTTGTATTGATTTATTTCATATTGTGATCAGAAATGAACAGCATTGTGTAAAACTCCAATCTGATTGAAATCAGATCCTTTTTCCCCATCGCTTAGATCTATATAGCGATCTATGTGAGCGGATCACAGGATCTGAATCTAATCAGATTAGTAAAAATTGTATTTTGAAAAAACGAAACAAAGAAAATGTCCAATATTACTGTTACAGAGACCTATTTTCATCAATGTCGGACGTGGAAGTATTATTAGTGAAGAATCTTTACTTTCTGCACTTGAGTAAATATCACTTCATATATTTGTCAATTTATTTAAAATTAGTAAATTATATTACAAATTTGATTATTTTAAGTAATATGAGAAGAGATTAACGATTAATTCTGTTGTTTTCACAAGAAGTACTTCAACTTAAATGCGAACACTCTTTAAGAATTTTGTAATGATCGCATTTTTGAACTATTTATATGTCTTTCAGAAACAAGTGGATAGGTGGTGCTCTGTTAGATGTTTTCTCTAAGGAGCCACTTCCACCAGAAAGTCCCTTATGGTCCCATTCCTGTGTTACAGTAACCCCCCATATATCAGGTCCCAGTGTAGCAGAAAGTGTAAGTTTGGCTCCTACAGTCAGTAATCATGCATTTCTTACCTGATAGTTTTCTTTTCATGCATGTTCTTAACTGGTTATTATGGCCCCATTTTCAAAAGATTAAGATCTGCAAATGATTATTGAAATCTCTATGGAATTGAATACATGTACAATGCAAGAAAAAAAAATAATTTTTAGAAGCAATTTTTTCTCAAATTGATATCGTTCTACTAAGAAATTTGAAAAGTTTCTACGTGCAAATTTTTAGCAAAGTATTTTTTTTCATAAATGAGTTGATAATCAGCATAATTTTTTTTATAAGTCTTTTTCGATTGAGAAATAGTGCCTAGGAAAACTGTAAAATTCCTGTACTGAAAGCTCCAAAAATTTATTTATAAGGAAAATTGATTTAATTTTTTGGAGCTTTTGTACAATAAATTGTTAATCTCCGGATTTTCTTTTTTCCAGATCGCCGAGGCGTTTGTCAAAAACTATGAGAAGTACACCAATAAACAGAGACTTAATTATATTATAGACTGGACAAAAGGCTACTGAAAACTTTTTAATTTTCTGAAAATTTTTTAAAAATCACATGAAATTTACACGTCAAGAAGTCACTTTCACATCCTGATATTTTTGTTTATTGTGGTTATAATTATTCGTTAATTTGTGTTTACTTCCGAAGTTAAAAATTATGTGTCTGTGGCATTTGCTTGAATTTTTTCAAAAGCATATTAGATCATTACAATCATTTTATTATTATTTTTTTTGGGGGGGGGGTTGCTTTTTTTTTTAATAAATGTGACTGTTTGCCACTAAAATTTGTAAATTAGGTTCATTGTGCAATTGATTCATGACCCTTATATACGGCAAAGTGTTGGATATCTTCTTACATGTACTTCTGAAAATATTTTATATTTATAAATAAATAAATAGCAATCTTTATGATTTTCAGTGAAGTTTTTCAAGTGGAAATGTTTTCTCCGGCAATAATCCGTTTTAAATCATTAAACATTTTTTTTTAAATGATAAGCTCTAAACAGCAAGAAGTTTCACTTTTCATTTAAATATGTAGTTTATTAAAATATTACGTGTTGCACTATAAATAAAATACGCTTACACATGTATGTACATGTTGCAGAAGGACACAGAAAATAATACTTTTATTTCATGTATGCAAACATAAAACATATTCATTTTTTTCTTCCAAAGTAAATACACATGTATATATGAATCTTTTAACTTTGAAAATGGATTTTAGTTTTATTTTTTGTGAAGTTCAGTAAATTTGCCAAATGGCCATATCTTCGTTATGACTGCAGACACAGAACGTGTTTTTACTGGAGGAAATCAGTATAAACCACGGATTAATCATATCATCAAACCGTTTGATTAAGACACCAACACTAGATAACACATGGATATTTCCACTGTCTCTGCACGCTATATATATATTGCTTTCCGAGTCCTTTTGCAGTCCGTAAGGAAATTTCAGATCTGGACTTTTATATGTCCATATTGATTCCCCTTCATTACTTATTGCTGAAACTATGTCTTCCTCATGCAAACTATATACAATGTTTTCTTGTTTTGTGACAATAATACACTCGATTTTATGCCCAGGGAATTCATAAATATAAGTTTGAACTACACAACCAGCTGATTTGCCAAGTTTTTCTATAAAATCAATACATGCAATATACAAACATTCATCTCTGATATCTATTCCATAGCATTTCCTCTGAACTGAAAATTCACGAATAGTTTCAAAAGTTTTTGAAGACAAGACATGAATCATTTTGTCTTGCGGACATGTTATGTAGAGTTCTTCTCCATCCAGTTTCACACAGGCAGGTTTATATGGAATGCTGACTGCATTTTGGAATGAACCATCTTTGAAAAAGATTTGACATTGTGTTTTAAAATGATTCCCTGAGGCGGAATGCTGTGGAAAAAGAATGCTCCCGTCAGCTAAAAATGTTCCACTAAATACAGCTCCTCCTTTAACTTGGAAATTTGCTGCATTTCTCACTTTAGCCTCTTTAATGTCTATGTCACCTAAAACTTCTTGAATAGAATCTTTTAATTGCAATTTTGGAAATGAAAACAATTGATTTGCTTTGGAATTATCTGGTTCAAGGCACTTTTCCATTCCGAGAGAGAAATGTACTCTCCTTGTAAGTGATTTCTGCACATGTTGAAAAATCTGTTTAGCATTGGTAAATTTCAAAACATATTCAACTATTTCTGTATTATCATCAATGTCTGATAGTGTTTGCTTGCATTTCTGGATACAATGAGATTTGTCAGTCATAGTATCTATATTTCTATTTATTTTTTCTTTGCTTTCTTTTAAAAACTTGGAAAGTTGGTTAAGATAAACATCTTTTAGTTTTCTGATATGGTTAACTATAATCTTCTTCCAGTTCTTCTGCATCTTTTGTAAGAACCTCAGATCTATTGTCAAGGTCTTCAATATTTTTGTCTTGTAATTTCTTCAGCTCTGAAAGGTTTTGCTCATATATTTCCATTTCCCCAGTCAGATGCTTAATTGAGCAGTTTTTCTTCATATTTTCTGCAACAGTGTTAACTGTATCAACAAAGTTACATTTTCTGTGCCTAGTGCCCGCACACAGGGAACAACAAGGTTCATCATGGTCATAGCAGAATAACTCAATAGGCCTGCCTTTATGTTGACGACAAGTTTTGTATAAGTTGGAATGCAGACTTCTTTGATTTACCCTGTTCAATGGACACAGAATATGGTCACGAGTAGCGACAAATTTTCGGTGATATTTCGAACACGTTTTACACATAGTCTCGTTACAATCGGCGCAGAAATCTGTGGCTTCAGCTTCTTCATCTTCTGTTTTACAAGGTTCACAAAATTTCACACTGTCACTAACATCGATCAACTTCATTAATGTTTCATTAATCGGAAAGTGTTCAATCCATGATTCGGGTTCACCAACACAAGGAATGAAATCTCGACATAATGGACAAGGAAATCCGAAAGAAGTCTCTTTGGATTGACACGACGAGGCGATAAAGGACGAAAGACATCCATGACAGAAGGAGTGGTAACATGGCAAATACCTTGGCGTTTTAAATTTGTCAAAACAAACAGAACATCGAGAAATATCATCCAGATTCTCAATCAATCTCTCACCAGAGGGCGCGCTCCGCTTACAGTATTGGAGCGGACGCGTAAAACGCCCTCTGGTGAGAGATTGATTCTCAATATGAATATTTTCACAAGCCATGATATCCTCATTGCATTTTTTGCATTCCCGATCCCGAACTTAATATAATTATAAGTATACGTTCGTTCCCGAAGTTATCGAATGTATAAATAAATAAATAACAGGACATGTAAGTTATAATGGCAAAATTTTATTCATCTAAATGTTAGGAGCGGATGACCAAGAGACAGATCTCTTTCTTAAAAGCTTTTTTTTAAAATTAGTATGATTTAACATAATATAGATCACAAATTATTTTCCCCTTGTCTGTTTATTCCATAAATGTGTTTTAAAACGAGCATCTGCTATCTTTTTTTTAATTGTTAAACGAAAGATTTTTTTATTGCAAAAATAGCTTACGCGTATATTTTCCTGGTGAAAATTCAGTGTTTTTCACAAATAGAAATATAGGAAGAAAATAGGAATTTAAAATTTTCCCTTAATTTCCTAAGGAAAACAAAAAAGAATGGATAAGACGATTTCTTTAGTTCTATGTTCAAATTTTATCTTAATTTTGTATAATCATTTTTTTTAAAAAAAAGAAATTAACAGGTATCAGCTTTTATGCACAGAGATCAAGTATACACTGCATTATTTAAAATCATCGGAGACAGTACATTGCAGCTGGAAGAAAAGTATTTTTTAAAATTCTAAATATGAGAGAGAAAAATGACCTTAACCTGAGCTTGTTCTTAAAAAAATTATTAAATGCGTAACTTTTCGTGAATCATTGATTTTAAATCAATAATTATGAGAAGAATTCATCTTTTATTAATATAGTTACACTGTGTTCCAACAAATTCAAACTGCTTATTTTTTTTTTATTATGTCATTAATATTCATATATTACTGCATTAAAAATAAATCATTATATCATAATGGTACATTGTGTCATTTATTAATCAATTCTATGTCACTTTTCCAAATTTTAAATGTATTGCTTCATTGTTAATTGTTCAGATATATCAATTTATTCATGCTGCGTCGTTGTGTTTCGAACCTTGCTTTTGTCAAGTTTACAATTATATAAAGCGGCCGTTTAATTGTCTAATATCCGCGCTCAAAGTCCAGAAGGTAATCCAATGGCTCCCCATTGATATACTTGTTGTAATTTGAAACAAATACTTTGGCAATCTGAAAAAAGGAGGAAAACATAGATATAACTAGTGCTAATTGTAACGGGAACCGTTATAGATGTTCCCCAAACGCTCCCCAACTCCCTTTTGGTGCCATATTCCTTGTAAGCCTTATTAAATAAGACAACATCTGTGCATTTTTGCCTTTAACAACGTTTTCCCAGAGGTATACCAATTATATTCAAATTTTAACATTGCAGGCGTGCGCATGTGAATGCACGTGCGCAATGATCATATCATCTTGTCTACACTTTTCTATATATTTAAATATGCTATACTAGTATATATTAAACCATTTAGTCCAACAGTATTAAAAATCACTCATTCAAGTGTATTTTTAATTTCACTCGTTCCAAATGCACGCATGTTCGTACACGTGCATGATGACCATTCCTTCTTGTAGGAGGCCCTTATATCTATCTATGTTCTAAATCCCATCCTGTTTGGTTGAAAACCAAGGGAATTATAGCCATTTCAAGTTTCAGCCAATCAGATTGCAGCACACGTGCATGCGCGTGATTTCATGAATTTTCTTCTAAATCATATTGTAGGATATCTCAATGCATGAATATGTTTTAAAGTCCCTAGCATTTCGTCAAAAAACAAAGGAGATATAGCCATTTAAAGTTTCAGCCAATCAGGTTGCAGCACACGTGCATGCGCGTGATTTCTTGAATTTTTTGTATATCATATTGCAGGATATCCTAATGCAAGACTATGTTTTAAATTTCAAAGCATTTCGTCAAAAAACAAAGGAGATATTATATAGCCATTTAAAGTTTCAGCCAATCAGATTGCAGCGCACATGCATGCGCGTGATTTCATGAAATTTGGTCCATATTATATTGTAGGATATCCTAATTCATGACAATGTTTAAAATTTCAAAGCATTTCGTCAAAAAACAAAAGAGATATTGAGATTTTTGTTTCAGCCAATCAGAGCAAGGTGCACGTGCATGCGCGTGAGTTCGTGCTAATTTGACAGTGTCATATTATTAACACTATTAATATATCCTTATGTAATGAGTTTCAAAGCATTTCATCAAAAAATTTAATAGTTATGGCCATATTAAGTATATCAGTCATTTCACTCACTTCACGCGCACGCACGTGCATGCGAATGCGCGCAAAATGACCTTCGTTCCGCACACCTACACTACACACCTATTAACCCTAAAAAGGTTTTAACTTTGTTGGGTGAACAGTTTCTGAGAACACTCGCTGACAAAAAAGTACCGGAGAACAAAGAAGAAAAAAAAAAAGAATAATAATAACTAGTGCTAATTGTAACGGGGACCGTTACAGATG